GCGCGCGGCGGCCGACGCGCGCGGCGAGGGGGAGGTGTGGGCGCGTCCCCGGCCCAGGATTTATAAAGGCGAGGTCTGGACCTACGCGCGCTCTCGTCGCTTTGGCTGTCCCGGCGGCGCTAACTTAACCGCCCCGCCCGCTGCCGACGTCCGACATGCTGAGCCGTTCTCTGCTGTGCCTGGCCCTGGCCTGGATGGCCAGGGTGGGCGCCGACGCCCCGGAGGAGGAGGACAACGTCCTGGTGCTGAAGAAGAGCAACTTCGCAGAGGCGCTGGCGGCGCACAACTACCTGCTGGTGGAGTTCTGTGAGTGAGCCGCGGGCCCGTGCGGGCAGGGCCCCTGGTCCACGGACCGCAGCTCAGGGCCGCGCTAGGCGGCCCCCGGCGCTGCCCGGTGCGGTGGCCCGTAGTTCCCGGCTTGTCCCGGGGAGCACAGGTTGGCGGGTCCCGGACTGGACCTCGCTGGGAGCACCTACTGTCAGCTTCGCTGCTTCCAACCTTCCAGAGAGCATCCTTCCCACCAAAGTGGAAATCGTTGTGTTCAGGGTTCTTGGAGGGTGGCTGAGTGGCTTAGGATCAGGAAGGTGTCTGTGCCCGACGTCCGCATGGCCCGATCCGTCTATGGGCTGTGTGAGCAATAGCAATGCCGATAGAACAGGTCTAGCCCTATTTACTATGCCCACCCTCCGTGTAGCTTGCCCTCGCCTCCTCACTGGGAAGTAGGCCAGATCCTAAGCCTTACTTCTCTTTACAAGTGTGTGAACCCCAGCACAGCTGCCAGGCTGCTTTGACAGATTGTCACGTTCCCACACTAGAAAGCAGATTCTGATAGGCATCTGGGCTTGTTCTTGCTAGGAATAGTGCTGGCCCAGCAACCTTTTAACCTCCCTGCATTCTTAATGGGAAATCTGAGGGATACATTGACCCTGATTGCTGGAGACAGTGGGAAGTTACAAGTCAGGATTATTTTGCCGTGTTGGTGGTCACAGGGCAAAGTAGGGGTTGGAGTTGTCACTCATGGCCTCTGTCCTGATATTGCCCAAGAGCACCAGCTATCAGCTCGGTCTCGTGTCTGTGTTAAGAGGGGTTATCTTGGTGTGCTGATAAGGTTTTTATGAAAGGGAGGTACAAAGTTAAAGGGGAGCATTAGACCTGGGTCAAGGACTGCCTTCCAGTGTCCTGCTTTCCTTTTCAGATGCCCCATGGTGTGGCCACTGCAAAGCCCTGGCCCCTGAGTATGCCAAAGCTGCCGCGAAACTGAAGGCAGAAGGTTCTGAGATTCGACTAGCGAAGGTGGACGCCACGGAAGAGTCTGACCTGGCTCAGCAGTATGGCGTCCGTGGCTACCCTACAATCAAGTTCTTCAAGAATGGAGACACAGCCTCCCCTAAGGAATACACAGGTGTGACCCTAGCGCTGCCCTCTAATGACCGCGGAGGCTTGGGGAGCTAGCCAGAAGTGTGTCTTAGTGGTCGGGAACCTTCGCAGAGGCTTGAGGCGGGGACCCTGACTGCGTAGGCTTGGGGAGCTAGCCAGAAGTATGTTTTAGTGGTCGGGAACTTTGCAGAGGCTTGGGTTGGCAGCTGGGTTCCATATCAACTCTGGTGTCTGAGGGCCATGGGAAGAAAGTTCCCTTTTTGGAGTACCTGACAGGAAGAGTGTCACATCTGTGGTGACCCCCCAGAGTGGCGTGTTGGCTGAGGCTTATCTTAGGATTGACCAATGAGGAAAGGGAGGCAAGTGCCTCTCTGAATGCACGGGGCTTTGGGCTATTGGTCCTCACAGAAATAGTGCTTCCAGATAATGTAGGCGTGGCACTCCAGCTGCTTGGTAGGCATCACTCACAGTGTGTGCCAATACCTGGCCAAACATTCACTGCACTTCCCTGTGGGACCATTTCACAGTCTCAACCTCCGAGTCATTGGTGACAGGCTGCAAATCGAAGCTTCCAGATGTCACCCAGCCACTACTAAAGCTATTTTCATAGAGGCTAGGACCTTCATGTAGGCAATTCATTAGTTACTACCTGCAAAAGATGACTTGGGTCTCCCAAACCAGTTTCCTGGAATAGCCATTCAAGCCACATGCTGGGCAGTGTGAAAGCAGCTCATCCTGTGCTTGTAAAATATCCCTTTGAGCAGCCTTGTACTGGTCAGTGTCAGCCACTCTGGTCACTTCCCTTGGATGTCTGTGGTCTCTACTTTTTACATGAGTTCACTATCGGAGTAGAAAGTTCGTGGTCCAGAACTTTGTTTGCTCCTGCCTGTGGCCAGCACCTGGGAGGCAGAGGCAGGAGTATCTTGCAAGTTTGAGGCCAGTCTAGTGTGGGTTCCAAACCATCCAGATCTGCAGAGTAAGACCCCACCTGAAAAGTATACAGCTCAGTTGGGAGGGTTCTTGCGTAGTGTGTTTGAAGACCTGGATACAGTCCCCACCACTGAATAAACTGAGCATGGCGATGTTTTGCCGACGTTTTGCCGTGTGTGCGTGCACAGGCTCCTGAAACACTGTTTATTGTATCTTGTGCATTCTGTGCCAGAAGAGGGAGTTGGATTTCTGGAACTGGAGTTACAGGCAGTTGTGGGCCACCCGTTGTGGGTGCTGGCAACCATTCGCAGGTCTTCTTGAAGAGCAGCAAGTGTTCTTTTTTGTTTTGTTTTTTGAGACACGGTTTCTTGGTTTAGCGCTGGCTGTCCTGGAACTCAGAGATCTGGGATCCCAAGTGCTGGGTTTAAAGGCATGAGCCACTACACCTGGCTTCAGCAAGTGTTCTTAACAGTTGTGTCATCTCTCCAGCCCCCACAATCAAAAATTTAAAGAAAAAAAAATTTTTTAAGCTAGGTAGTAGTGGTACACCCAGAATCATGGTAGATTCAGTGTGCAGATCGGCCTTAGTTAGTCCAAGTGGCCAGTCCAGGAGGAGAGAGTCACCTGTAGGCCTCTACCTCAAGGAAGAAGCAGACCTTTTTTCTCCTCACCATGTCTGCTTTGAGTAGCAGTCAAGCACTCCATATCTTTCCAGTTCTTACCCATCTGAGAATTGGGTAGGCAGACAGGAACTCCTGGCCCACCCAGGTCTTGGGGTCAAGTTGAGCCTGTTTTTGGGGTGGCAGAGCTAGCACTGGGGTTGACTAACCACATCTCCGGGGTGTAACCCGGTGTAGAGCAGTGGAGCAGAAACTGAGCTGAAGGAACTCTGGCACTTCAGGAAATTTGGAAAATGCAAGCAGACTGGGGAGAAGCAGCTAGTGAGCAAGCCCTGCCTTCCAGATGTGTGCACTCCTTCCTTGACAGGCACCACGGTAGCCTCTTCTGGAATCCAGAGGCCAGTGTTCTGTAGGAGAGCGTCTTGCTCTAGGAATGGGCTGGCCTGTCTTGAGCCTACTGGGCAGAGCTCAGAAGAGATGGCCCGGTAGGGTGGGCGATACCTTGTCTCACAAGAACATGCGTTTGTTTGGGGCGCAGCTGGCAGGGAAGCTGACGACATTGTGAACTGGCTGAAGAAGCGAACAGGCCCCGCTGCCACAACCCTGTCTGACACTGCGGCTGCAGAGTCCTTGGTGGACTCCAGTGAGGTGGCCGTCATCGGTTTCTTCAAGGTAGAGCTTCAGCATTCCGTTTGCCAGTCTGCCTCCTTATAGAGGGAGGGGTCCCAGCAGGGTTGGGTGTGTGGTCACCTCTGCTTCCCTTCCTCTTCTAGGACTTAGAGTCAGACTCTGCCAAGCAGTTCTTGCTGGCAGCCGAGGCTATTGATGACATACCTTTTGGAATCACGTCCAACAGTGGTGTGTTCTCCAAGTACAAACTGGACAAGGATGGAGTGGTCCTCTTTAAGAAGGTGAGTGACCTTGGCCAGCTGTGCCCGGGGCAGTTCAGGTGTTGGTCTGCAGGGGGTGGTGTTGCCTGCTTATGTTGGGAAGGACCAAGCTGGGCTGATGGTGATAGTGATCAAGGATCTCTGCTGCATCTTTTTGGAGTTAGACTGTGGCGGCCACTTCATACTGTGGCCTTTGGACCAGCTTCCTCTGACAGCCAGCACACTAGGTCTTCTGAATAATACAAGGTGGTGATTATGGCAAGATGTAACCAAGGTGACTGTTGGAACCATTCACTCTCCCTCCCTCCTTCCCTGTCTTTTCCTGTCTTCCCTCTGTTTAAGATAGGGTCTTACCCTGTAACGCTGGCTGACCTGAAAGTCGTATAGCCCAGGGTGGTCTGTAACTCACAGCAACTCTCCTGACTTCATCTCTCAAGTGCTGAAACTACAGATCTGGTCTGAGCCACATACCTGGCCTTTTTTGTTTGTTTTTTCGACAGAGTTTCTCTGTGTAACAACTCTGGCTGTTGTCCTGGAACTCACATTGTAGACCAGGCTGGCCCCAAGCAGATCTGCCTCCCGAGTGCTGGGATTAAAGGCCTACACTGCCCATCTTAAAGATCTTTTTAAAAAACTTATTTATTTTTAGTTTTATGTGCATTTGCCGATATATATGTCTGTGTGAGGGTATTGGATCCATCCACTGGGACTGGAGCTGTAGACAGTTTTGAGCTGCCATGTGGGTGCTGGGAATTGAACTCAGGTCCTCTGGAAGAGCAGCCAGTGCTCTTAACTGCTGAGCCGTCTCTACAATCCCTAGAGATCATTGTTAAGTTCCCCGTCTAGTGACACTAACTGTATCCACGGTACCAAGGAACCTATTGTCAGGATTTTTCCTCAGCCTAGACAAGAGCTCTGGAGCCTTAGCTACAGATCCATGACCCCCGTGTCCTGCCCCCACCCCGGCAGACCTCCCACTTGAACACCTGCAGATTCCAATCCTATTGTCAATGTTTTCGTAGACACCAAGTGTCCTTGCCACGTCTTCCTGTTACAGGGATGCAGCAGACTCTGGGCTTCTTGTCCTGCCTGAGAGTCGGGGTGCTGTCTGGGCACCCATACTTTTGCAGCCTAGCTGTACCAAGATGAGGGTGGTGAGAAGCTCATGTCACCCGGGTGTGCAGGGGAGAGGAAGTTCTATGAGAGGAAATATCTAGGGAGTGGGGAGACAGGAGCTGGTCCTTATGGACAGGAGAATAAAACCCCGGAGTGCTGTTCCCTGTGGGAGGAACGGCACAGAGGGGAAAAAATACTCCGGGGGTCTGGAGAGATGACTCAGCAGTTGAGCACTAGCTGCTTTTTCAGGGGAGTCCGAGTCAATGGTCAATTCCCAGCACCTACGTGGTAGCTCATTAACTGAGACTCCAGTTGCAGAGGGTCTAACACCCTCACGCTCATGCATATAAATAAAATCAGATTTTTAAAAAAAATTTTTTTTGAAAAAAAGGAATGATAGCCCGTTCAGGAAAGATGAAGCATAGATGAGAGGGTCCTCTGGTTTGGAACCATGTTGGTGTGTGTTTTCATGTCTCTGAAAGGATTTCACCAGTTTGCAGGTGAAGGAATTTGAAGGTAAAGAACAGACGAGAGCTGTCCTGAGGGCTGGACTCACATCCCTCAGCCATCAGTGCTTTTGTCAGCCTCTTTAGCCCTTCGTGGAGGCCGTCACCTGGCTGCTACCCTTACCCGCTAGAAGACTTAGGGAGGGAAGAGCTGCTCAATTCCTGGTTGTCTTGGTACATTTGCCCAGGAGATTTTACTTAAGTGCTTGATTCGAGAAGTGAGAAAGTGCTGGTGAACTCTTGATAGAACAAAAGCTCTCTCAGATATTTTAAAATTTCATCCAAAGCCCGGCAGTGGAGGCGCATCCCTTTAATCCCAACACTCTGGAGGCAGAGGCAGGCGGATCTCTGAGTTTGAGGCCAGTCTGGTCTACAGAATGAGTTTCGTGGCTGCTAGGGCTGTTACACTGATTTTTTTTTTTAAAAGATTTTATTTATTTATTATGTATACAGTGCCTGCGTATACTTCTGCATACCAGAAGAGGGCACCAAATCTTATAGATTGTTGTAAGCCACCATGTGGTTGCTGGGAATTGAACTTAGGACCTCTGGAAGATCTGCCAGTGCTCCTTTTTTTTAAAAAAAAAATATTTATTTATTTATTTATTTATTATGTGTTCGATATTCTGTCTGTGTGTATGCCTGCATGCCAGAAGAGACACCAGACCCCATTACAAATGGTTGTGAGCCACCATGTGGTTGCTGGGAATTGAACTCAGGACCTTTGGAAGAGCAGGCAATGCTCTTAACCTCTGAGCCATCTCTCCAGCCCTTGATTCCCCTACATACACACGCAGGGTGTCCTGTATCCCAGACTTGTTTTGAACTGTGTAGTTGAGGCTGCCCTTGAGTTCCTGATCTCTAGTGTGTACCACCACACTCAGTGATTTGGTTTTGTTTGCTTTCTGAAGAGAGCTCTGGAACCAGGGAAGGCTGCCACAGCCACTGGTATGCTATAGTGTCTGTCATGACCTGGTGGGGCTGCTGTCTACAGCAGAGACAGTGCTGTGGTGGTGAAGGGAGCTGTTTTACCATAGTGAACTGAAGAAATTGTGTGACTACACTGCCAAGAAGATAGCAGTCCCAGGTAGTCAGGTTTTTTTGTTTTTTTGCAACCCTCAGTGGAAGGTGGTGGAGTGAATGGTTCTGCTGCAGGAGGAGCCTTGTTGGTAATGGTGATTGCGCATCACACTTGGAGAGTGTCTGTGGAACCCTTAGGCAACTCTGTGTCCCCTCCATTGCGGCTGGTGTAGGCACAACAGCATGGACACCTGTACCCTGTAGGCTCTGGTGGAGAGCAAAGACATAGTGCGCTCACCTAGTTTTCTCAGTCCTATAACCTGCGGTTGTTTGGGAAGAGTATTTCTGGGTTCCTTCCCCGGCCCCAACTACCTGCTCCTCCTTTATCTTCTTGGTTTTTTAGGTTTTCCATTATGTGGGTATTTACGTGTCTGTTTTACGGATGTGTGCATACAAGTACAGAAGACAGGGCTCTGGATCCCTTAGAACTGGAGTTACAGGCATCTGTGAACTGACGGATGTGGGTGCTGGAGTGTCGCAACGCTCCTGAAAGAGTAGCGTGTGCTCGTAACCACTGAGCCGTCTCTCCAGCCCCCACCTCCTCTCGAAGTTACTCTGAGGACATATAGTAGAAGGTGGCCAGTAAGAAGATGAGTAGTCAGCCCACCACATCTTTGAATCCAACTATCTTGGCTCAGAAGTGTTGGGAATAAGCTGGACATGGTGGCACATGTCTGTAATCCCAGCACTCAGCATGCTGGGGTAGGAGGATCACAAGTTTGAGGTCAGCCTGGAGTGCAGGATAAACCCTGTCTCAAGAACAAACAAACAATTTTTTTAAATTTTTTAATTTTTTTTTTAAGTTTTTTTCAAGACAAGGTTTCTCTGTGTAGCCCTGGCTGTCTTGGAACTCACTCTTTGGACCAAGCTGGCCTCAAACTCACAGAGATTCGCCTGCTTCTGCTTCCCTAGTGCTGGAATTAAAGGCCTATGCCACCACAACCAGCTGTAGCACTTTAATCCCACCCACCACTGGAGTTGAGACCAGCCTAGTCTTTTTTTTTTTTTAATCTATTTATTATGGATACAATATTCTGTCTGTATGCCTGAAGGCTAGAAGAGAACACCAGATCTCATTACAGATGGTTGTGAGCCACCATGTGATTGCTGGGAATCAAACTCAGGTCCTTTGGAAGAACAGGCAATGCTCTTAACCACTGAGCCATCTCTCCAGCCCCCCCCCCCCAGTCTTTATAAGAGGTTCCAGGCCAGCCAAGGCTACAAATTATACAAAGAATTATACCTGTATCTAACATGAATAGGCTTTTTTTTCCCTTTGTCATTGCCTAAACAATACAATGTAACAACTAACCGTAGAGTATTTACATTGTTAAGAATTATATCATCAGCTGGGCAGTGGTGGCCCACACCTTTAATCCCAGCACTCAGGAGGCAGAGGCAGGCAGAGGCAGGCGTATCTCTGATCTCTTGAGCTTGGGACCACCCTGGTCTACAGAGTTGAGTTCTGGGATAGCCAGTAAGGTCAAGGGCTGCCAGAGCTGCGCGTGTGTCGTCTGCCAGGCTTTAGCCCTAGTGCTCCAGAGGCAGAGGCAGCTAGATCTCTGAGCTTGAGGCAAACCTGGTGTTCATAGTAAATTTAAATTCTAGAACAGCCAGGCTGTCCAGACACTGTCTCAAACAAACCAAAAGTCATCTAGAGAGGATGTAGACAGATCGTAGGTGCTATGATCTTTTACATAAGGGACTTGGCATATAGATTTTGGATGGGAGGAGTTGAGGAATACTGTGTACCCACACAGATACTAAAGGGTGGGTAGGTGTGACTTATTCCCAGAACCTCATCAGAAGTCTCGGAGCAGTAATGGACTCATGGGATTTTCACCTGAAAAGTTTTAAGAAAGCGTTTTCTCCGGAACTTGTTTCTTGTCCACTCCGTATGTGAAGCCATGGCTTGGATGGTCTAGTCTAAGCTGTCCCGTCCTGAAGCTATGGAGGTGGATAGCTATCTGTCTCTGCCTTGTGATCTCAGAATGCCTTAATCTGTGGTGGTGGTGGTGGTTAAGGATCCCAAGAGCTTGTATGTGTGGATTCCATTTGTCATTCGTATTATTTTAGAGGTTAGAACTGGAAGTTGAGCAAGGTGTCCCAGTGTGAGAATTGGTGGGGGTGCTAGGCCAGCTGGGGCTACATGAAGAGACTCTGTCTCCAAACAAGAGATAGGTAGACCTAAGGTATTATTGGGAATGAAGGAGTGGGTTTTCTTCGTACAGTAGAGCTTGTGATGTTTGGCTGTCTATCTACTGCAGAGGCTGGGTTGGGAAATCATCTGACTGAAGCTTTAGAGGACAGCCGGGGCAGCACGGGGAGACACCTGTCTCAAGTCAATCACAATAGGATATCAATAAGTTCATTGGGTTATCAGGTATAGCATTCATGCGAAACTTTAATTTCCATGTCAGGTCAGGTCAGAGACTAAGTGATGTTTATGTGTTCCCAGATCTTCCTATGTCTAGTGTGTATATCCTATATTGGGAGGTAGCTGAGTTCTTTCTATTTCTTCGGTCTGTGCTGGACACATCCTCCAAGCCCCTTACCCTTTGCTGCAGACTAGGGACACCATGGAAGATGGGCACCAGTAAGTGTGGCTGACTGGACACAGCGTCTCCTGTCACCCTAGCACTCAGCAGGCTGAGGTGGGAGGATTGGGAGCTTGGGCTACAGAGCCTCTCGAGAGCAGCTGTGAGTCGCTGTGGGCATGGAGATGGCTCAGCGTACAGATGTTTGCTTCAAAGCCTGATGACCCAGGTCTGATCCCCCAGTACCTGCCTACCTACATGGTGGACGGACAGACTGACACCGCCAGCTGCCCTCTGACGTTCAACATGAGTGTATGCACCACCCCTCAAAAGATGCGTTAATTTTTTTTTTTTTAGATTTATTTATTTAATGTGTATGGATTTATGTTTATTCGCCACCATGTATGTGCCTGGTGCTTTGGAGGCCAGAAGAGGGCAGTGATCCCTGGAATTGGAGTTAGAGTTAGTTGTGAGCTGCTGTGGCAATTCTAGGAACTGAACTCAGCTCCTCTGGAAGAACAGCCAGTGCTTTTAACCATGGAGTCATCTCTCCAGCCAGCATTTGTTTTTCTGCAAAGTAGCTTTATCTAGTAGATGTCCTAAGAAGGTCTGGTTTCCTCTGTCATCAGTGTGGTCCCCTCTCCCACTCATCTCTAGGAGGATCATGTTTTGTGAGCCACTGTTTCTGAAACAGAAGTGGTTGTTTTCTCAGCTCTGGAGATTCCTGCTCTGTGTTCTGTAGAGTATGCTCTCTCTGTGGTGATACCTGCTGCCCTGGCCTGCAGAGGCAGCATTAACTCATGCCTGTGCCGTTCAGTCACAGCAGCGGAAGGACCATGAGGCGTGAACATGCTGTTGTTTGTGGGCTTGTCACTGGTTCTGGTGGTGACTGTGTCCAGTTTAGGCCATCGGGTACAGTTATTGTCTGTCCTTTGATGCTGGCTGACCACAGCAAAGCTCACAGCCCCTTTTCTGTCCGTAGTTTGATGAAGGCCGCAACAACTTTGAGGGTGAGGTCACCAAGGAGAAGCTGTTAGACTTCATTAAGCATAATCAGCTGCCTTTGGTCATTGAGTTCACTGAACAGGTAAGGCCTCTCTGGAGGAACCCCTGGGAGAATGATCTGAGAACGGCTCATGACTCAAACCTAGTAACTGCTGCTTGTCCCACAGACAGCCCCAAAGATTTTTGGAGGTGAAATCAAGACCCACATTCTGCTGTTCCTGCCCAAAAGTGTGTCTGACTACGACGGCAAGCTGAGCAACTTCAAGAAGGCAGCCGAGGGCTTCAAGGGCAAGGTGAGCCACCTCAGGACGTGGGCTGCCTTTCCAGATGCAGAGAGGCCTGCCTAGTCTCCTGCAGTGCTACCCACTTGCCCATTAGGGTCTGCATTGTGGGGGTCCACTGGGCCAGCCCTGTTACCCTGGTGAGGCAGCCCCAGACTCACGGTGTACAAAGCCAGTTCAGGGGTGTGAGCATGTGTCCAGGTTCCGTCTGAATATGCCTTTTCTCCCCCAAGATCCTGTTTATCTTCATCGACAGTGACCACACTGACAACCAGCGCATCCTTGAGTTCTTTGGCCTGAAGAAGGAGGAGTGTCCAGCTGTGCGGCTTATTACCCTAGAGGAAGAGATGACCAAGTACAAACCGGAGTCAGATGAGCTGACAGCTGAGAAGATCACAGAATTTTGCCACCGCTTCCTGGAGGGCAAGATCAAGGTGTGGTGACACAGTTAACCTTGCAGGATAGCCTCCACCCCTGGGATCCAGGGTCTTCTGCTTCCTGCAGCGCTGCCTTCAAAGTCTGAAGACATTAGCGTAGATTCCTAGAGCCTGTGATGGTCATGTGCCCTAGGGGGCCACAGATAAATCCCTCCTTGCGTGCTAGCCTAGCCATGGAAGCTTCAAGCACCAGGACACATCTGTATTTCAGTTGATCTACCTGAAGACTCAGCCTTTTCTCACCAGATTGCTCGCAGCATTGGCTCTGGTGGTTTCTGGGAGACAGCATGGGTCTCAAGCTATGCCAGGGCTGGAGACTGGGGCAGAGCTGTGCCTGACTGTACTCTCTCTCCCTCTAGCCTCACCTGATGAGCCAGGAACTGCCTGAAGACTGGGACAAACAGCCAGTCAAAGTGCTTGTTGGGAAAAACTTTGAAGAAGTTGCTTTTGATGAGAAAAAGAATGTCTTTGTCGAATTCTGTAAGTGAGGGTCTCTGGGGGGCTTACAGATTAGAGAACACACTGTGAACACTGGATGGCTCTGTCCACGGTGGCCCTTCAGCATTGCTCTCTTTCAGATGCTCCTTGGTGTGGTCACTGCAAGCAGCTAGCCCCCATTTGGGATAAACTGGGAGAGACCTACAAGGACCATGAGAACATCGTCATTGCTAAGATGGACTCGACAGCCAATGAGGTGGAAGCCGTCAAAGTGCACAGCTTTCCCACCCTCAAGTTCTTCCCAGCCAGTGCCGACAGGACGGTAAGCTTCCCGCCAGGGTTCAGCTGCTGTCTGTGGGGTGGGCCCTGTTCTACCCTCTCCTGCCCTTCTGCATGGAGGGGAAGCTGCAGTCTGTGGGGTGGGCCCTGTTCTACCCTCTTCTCATTTCCTACAGGTCATTGATTATAACGGTGAGCGGACACTAGACGGTTTTAAGAAATTCCTGGAGAGTGGTGGCCAGGATGGTGCTGGAGACGACGATGTGAGTGTGGTCAGCTCTGGGTTCTTGTGGGAGGTGCTAGCTCAGCCTTTGGCTTGTAGGCTTCGGTGGTCACATGCCTGGCACAGCTGTGTGTACCCTGGGCTCAGGGACCTTAGACTTTGTCTTTGGTGTAAGGGAAATGCTCCATTTGCACCATTTAGCATTTAAAAAGTAGAGGGGGTTGTTTTTTGTTTGTTTTTCAAGACAGAGTTTCTCTGTGTTACCCTGACTGCCCTGGAACTTGCTCTGCAGACCAGGCTGGCCTTGAACTCACAGAGATCCTCCTGTCTTTGCTAGAATTAAAGGTGTGTGCCACCACCACCTAGCCAAAGTAGAGATTTTAAAGGTACCTTTCAAAACCGTCCCACGGGGTTCTCAATCCCACTTACGTGGACTTGAACTGGCTGGGTCTGTGTTTGCTGTATGGGTACTGCACACTTGTTAGTTACTGTGGGGATTCTCTGGCCCTAGGCTGGAGACTGGATATGGGCTGGTTCCCAGGAGCTCTATACTTTCCAGATCAGTTTATGGCCAGTAGCCTTGATGTTGCTAATTTGGGGGAAGCAGAGGGCAGGTCAGGATTCGGTGGAACTTGAGGACGCGTGAGCGTGTGTCCTTGAGGGTCACCTGGAGATAGTGGTGAAGCAGGAAGCGGTGTACAAAGGGGCTGTGGAGTAGAAGACAACACAAAGCCTGGGGAAGTGGCCAACAGTCAGTTTGGCCTTGTGCTGGAGCTGTTGTCCCGGCCAGGTCTTCCATGGTCCTAGAGCCATGCCCAATTGGAGGTTATGGCGACTTAGTTGGACGGCTCTGGAAGCCGTGCTGTATCTTGCCTTATATGCAGAAGCCTCGTGCATTGCCATACTCAGCCTATCACCCAGAGCCACTACTGGAGATGGTGACCAGGGCCTTAGACTGAGGACCGTCTCACTGCAGCTTTGGTGCTCTAACTGGGATTTCTTCCTCCATCCAGGACGTGGACCTAGAAGAGGCTCTGGAGCCCGACATGGAGGAGGACGACGATCAGAAAGCCGTGAAGGACGAGCTGTAGTGGAGGAGCAGTCGGACGCCTGAGCCCAGACCTCGGGGGCCCGTGCTCCCCGCAGCCCACATCTCCGGAGCCTGAGCCTCACCTAAGGAGGGAGTGCCATCAGAACCCAGGGAGTCTTTCTGAAGCCACACCCATCCAACACACGTGCACCTAAACCTGTCTCTTTTGCTTTTCAATTTTGAAAGGGATCTCTCTCCAGGCCAGCCCATCTTAAAGAGCTATCTTTTGGTGTGTTTTTGTTTGTTTGTTTGTTTTTGATTTTTTTAATTGTGATGTATTTTTTTTATATGTGGATTTTTGTCCCAAGTGCTCACTAAAATGTTTGGGGATCTCACACTGGTAATATCGTTCCTGTTAGAGATTTCATCTTTCACTGCTCCACCGTGCAAGGCCTCCCTGAGACTCCTGCCTCTGTGGGAGCGGTGGACCTGGGTGGACAGTCACTCTCCGCCTGCCTTGCACTAGTGTTGCCGTGGCAGCGTGGCTTTTGTAGATTTCAGTTAACCATGGGACTCACGCATCCTGTCAGAGGGTGGGTCCCTCACGTGTGGAAGAGACGGTGTGGCTGGCGGCTGGGCCCAGGCCAGGCCTGGACAGCTCTCACTCTTCAGTCAGGACTACCAACCAGCCGGCCATGGGCACATCACTCTGGCTGCTGGATTTGCTTCCAGCATGGCCTGTGGCCTGCGTGAGGCAGAACTGGGACCCTTGATTCCCAGACTGGGAGTCAGCTAAGGACTCTGGGACTGAATCAAACGCCCATTCTTGAGGCATTTCTACCATAATATTGGAATTGAACACATTGGCTAAATAAAGTTGAAATTTTACTACCCATTGTCACCTCTGCTTTCTGTCTCCAAGCCAAGGGAACTGAGCTGAAGTTCTCCCAGGAGGGCCAGTGAGTTTGTTGGGGTCCCTTTGTCAAGAGAACACCACTGCCCCCACTGAAAGGGAGAAATGGTGGATAACTGCTCACCACACAGGCTATCTGACTCGAGTGCTTCCCCCTTTGTCTAAGAGCAATACAGTGGCCCCATCACAACCCTGGATGTGGGCATTATGGACAGGTGATGCTGATGGGTGCTGGGTCACTGTAGGACCTACTCCCTCAAGTTATCCTCTGCCTTGCATCATGCATGCCCGCATGCACATACGTCATACACAGTAACTTCTGTGTGTAGCCCTGGCAGTCTTGGAACTTGCTTTGGAGACCAGGCTGGCCTTGGATTCACAAAGCTCGGCCTGCTTCTGCCTCCTGAGTGCTGGGGAATGCTGGGATTAAAGGCGTGCCCCACCACAGCCCAGCCACAATAACTTTGAATTCCGGATTGAAGCAGGTGTGCATGCAGCTCTCCGAGGAAAGATAAGAGCAATTAAAGACATTTCCAGGACTGGATGCAGCTCAGTTGGTAGGGTTCTTGCCTAACATGCACCGGGCTTTAGCTTTGATCCACAGCGTGGCTGCTGTCCTAGCTTGGGATCAGAAGTTCAAGGTTATTCTCATCAATATCCCGAAGTGTCGGGGACCACCTGACCTATATGAAAGCCTATGTTTTACCAGGAATGGTGGAGTGTGTTTATAATCTCAGTGCTTAGGAACCGGCAGGAAAAACAGGAATTTCAGGTCATCCTTGTCTGTACAAATTCACAGATTTTGATACCTGATGCCCTCCCCCTCCCCACATATAGATTAAAATGTTTCAAAAGTCAAAGCAAGAGCTGGCAAGACAGCTCTGTGCATAAAGTCACCTACTGCCAAGCCTATCTCAAGACATTTCTGCTGGACGTGGTAGCGTGTGTGTGTGTGTGTGTGTGTGTTTCGCAAATGCATGTCTGTTGTTGGATCCCCTGGAATTTGAGTTCCCGGCCCTTGTGAACAATCACATGGGTAACTGGGAAACAACTTCAGAACTTCTGCAGAAGCAGCAAGTGCTCTTGAGAACTGTTGAGTTCTCGCCAGCTTTTGACACACACTTTGAGTACCAGTGCTGGTGCAGGAGAATTGGGGGTCGGAGGCCTTAACAAAACAGCCTGGGGATGGTGGTGCACACCTTTAATCCCAGCACCTGGGAGGCAAAAGCAGGTGGATCTGTGACTTCGAGGCCAGTGTAGTTTGCATAGGCATTTTAAGACCCAGTCTCAAAAGAAAGAAGGGGTGGGGGAGGCAAGGATGGTGGTGCAAACCTGCAATCCTAGCGCTTGAGAAGAGAAAGCAGAAGGACCATCTCAGCCACACAAGGAGTCCAGAGATAGCCTGAGCTACATTCTCAGCTACACAAGGAGTTCAGGGACAGCCTGAGCTACATTCTCAGCTACACAAGGGGTTCAGGGACAGCCTGAGCTACATTCTCAGCTACACAAGGGGTCCAGGGACAGCCTGAGCTACATTCTCAGCTACACAAGGGGTCCAGGGACAGCCTGAGCTACATTCTCAGCTTCACAAGGGGTCCAGGGGCAGCCTGAGCTACATTCTCAGCTACACAAGGAGTCCAGGGACAGCCTGAGCTACATGAAAAAATAAATACACACACACGTACACTTAGGGCTGGAGAGATGGTTTAGCAGTTGAGAGAGCTTCTGACATTTGCACATAGACATACATGCAGACAAAACACCAGTGAACACAAAATAAATGTAAGCTGGGTGGTGGTGGCATACCCCTGTAATCCCAGCACTCAGAAGGCAGAGGCAGGTGGATCTCACATGCAGTGGGGATCGTGATACTCCTGAGGTTGACTTTCTCAAACTTCCTTTCTGACACAGACGCCTTTGGGAGTGCCGCAGTGTCTGAGAGTCTCAGGACAGGAGTAGAGGCACACAGGCCAAAGGGTAACAGGACTCAGGGTGGTCACAGGGGCCCTGACTGTAACGCTGCAAGCTGCCTGCGGTCAGACAGACAGACAGCCTCACCTGTATTCTTTCCTCACAAGCGCACTTTCTGAAGATATCCAGACCAAGACATCATCTCAGCACCAAGGCTAGCTATCCCCCTGCTGATAGCCATTGTGCCAGATCCAACTCTTGGGGTGCACTGAAGGGCTTCCTGTATGACCCTCTCCCAGGTCTAGGGGTGTGGGTTGCGGTCATCTCCTCCATGGCCGCCTTATCCCTCTATAAAAGCTCATACAAACCCAGGGATGATCCTCATTGGTCTGGCACACAAGCAGGGGAAGAGGACCCTGTCACCTCCTGAGACAGGGCCACATTACCCAGGTATCTGTCACTCTGATAGTCTTCATTCTGACTCAGCAGTTAGGGCAGTTGTCCGCTTTCGCTGCCTTCACTGGCTCTTGGTGACTCATTATAGGGCTGGTTTCCAGCTGCTTCCGCTCCAGAAGTTTCAGCAGGGGCCTACTGGCACAACAGACCATGGTCACCTTAAAGTGGGTACAGTCACTTTGGAGTTTGACAGGGGAAGGTATAAATTTTGTCCCCAGAATGTGAGTCAAGGCTGTCATTAAGGGAATCCATGGGATGGGCTGGAGAGACGGGTCAGAGGTTAAGAACATTGCCTGCTCTTCCAGAAGACCCGGGTTCAATCCCCAGCACCCATATGGCAGCTCACACCTGTCTGGAACACAGGTTCCAGGGTTTCTGACATCCTCATACAGACATACATTCAGGAAAAAAATAATAAATAAATTTAAAAAAAAGACACAGGACTTCCAAGGAAGAAAACCAATAGGGCTGTGAACAGACTGCTTCCAGTCCCAACTATAAAGACATGCTGTACATCCCTCCCTCAGACAGCCAGCGCACCACTGCCCAGCTGTACAGGGACTTGGTCTCTGGATAAGAAAGCTCAAACCGGGCAGCCAATGTCACGCGCTCCTGAGAGGAGTGTGACTCACAGATACCTTTTCCCTTTCTGCAGAGGCAGCTGATGGAGCATTCCAGAGCCAGACTGTGCAGGGCAGCTACAGGGTGATGTCTAAAACCTCTGTGGCTGGGATTGGTGGATTAGTCAAACAACTGAAGGCTCTTAGGGGAAGTGGTGAAAGTTTAGCAGACTGGGATTTCCCAGTTCCCCCCAGGTAGTCAGAAGCCAACAGTTTGGAACTTAACAACAACAACAAAACCAAAAGCACTTCTCTAAGGGGCTTCAGACTTCGAAGCTGAATTGTTGGCTGACCATTCCTCAGCCTATACAGGACTACCTAGCACCTCACAGCCCCCAGGCATTGGATACACATCACTGCTGGTGACATTGTCACACTTTCTTTTTTCTGGTTTGGTTCAGGTTAGACTTGTGCCACCCCTTTTGGCCTTGAACTCACTATGTAGCTCAGACTGGCTTTGAACTCCTGGCAAACAATCTGCCTTAGCCCCCAGAGGTTGTGTTAACTATGCCAAATTTGTGTTAACTCTTTGTTGTTGCTGTTGTTGAGACAGTGTCTGGCTGACTCGCTAGGCAATACTTTACCCCAGAACTATGTTCCCAGTTCTGGACTTTGATAAATTGGAATTGGGTGTGGTAATACAAGCCTGCAATCCCAATGCCTAGGAAGCTCAGGCAAGAGGAGGTTTTTGTTGTTGTTGTTGTTTTGTTTTGTTGAGACAGGGTTTCTCTGTGTAGCTCTGGCTGTCCTGGAACTAGCTCTGTAAACCAAGCTGGCCTCGAACTCTGCCTCTAGTGTGTTGGGACTACTAAAAGTGTGTGCCATCACTGCCCTGCTGACAAGAAGATTGAAAGTTTGAGGGCTACAAAATGCTGGAAGGCTGGATGGTGGTGGCACACACCTTTAATCTCGATACAGGCAGAGTCAGGTGGATCTCTGCGAGTTTGGGGCCAGCCTGGTCTACAAAGCAAGTTCCAGGAGAGGCTCCAAAGCTACAAAGAGAAACCCTGTCTTGAAAAACCAAAAAGGAAAAAGAAAAAATGTTGGCGGATAACCTTTGCATGTTTTTTTGAAGCTTGAACTTCCTCCTTCTGCTTCCCAAACGCGGGAAGTACAGGGACTGTCACCACCCCAGCTTTGTGTAAATGTTTTAGTCCATTCTCCAAAAAGGAGAAATTCTAAGATCCCAGATGAGTAACCTTGTAAGTCTGAGGGAATCAGGGACAGAGGTCGGTAATTCCAGGCTTTGTTCTAACATCAACCGCCATAAGGGACTTGAAAGCTCACTGCGGCTCCTGTTGAAAGATGAGGAATACCAGGCTCAGCTCAGAACACACAATTCCCAGGAATACTGTCTGGAAGATTTTGGGGCCGAGACTCCTACTCAGACAGAAACCCCAAACTCAAGAACTGTGCTTCAAGTGGCCAAGGCTCCACGTGCGAAGAGTGCCCAGACCTTGTCTCACTGACGGGTGAAAGGGTGGCTCTGTGGGTCCTCCCTGATGTTCTGTGGGTGGCACTTTCTCTCACACGCTTTCTTACGATCCTCTGAGCTGGGAGCACAGACGAAACTTTTCCACGACGCAAGAAGTGCGGGATGGGGTGGGGTGTCTGTCACCCAGCTGCAGTGCAGAGAGTTTAATTTCCCAGATTTCGGGAAGCAAGTTAAAAGACATGGTACCTGACTCCTCCTAAGAGACCAGAACTGAGCCCTGGAGATGCAGAGCCACAGAACCATCCATAGCAGATTCTCTCAGGGCCTGTCCATGTTTCTGGGGGACACAAACTCAGGGAGCAGCCTCTGAGCACTGAGGAAAACACCCCTGGCAGGTGGGAGCTCTCATTCAGGGTGTCTTGTAGCCGGTGGACCTCGGCTTTACACCTAAAGGGTGTGTAACACGTTGGCTTGGTGCTGACTGGAAAGCAGCCAGGTGATGTAAGCTCAGCTGACTACATTGCCTTCCCAGTTCCCCAGCCTGCCAAGGAGCAAC